GTGTGTGTGTGTGTATGTGTGTGTGTGTGTGTGTATATGTACTCACATATATGTATATACCTCAAATGATATATATGTACATACATACATACATCTGGTAATCAGCAAATTTTACATTAGAAACAAAAATTTGAGTTTCTAAAATACACCAGGCATTTTCTGGTTGTTGTGATATGATTTGAGGGGAAGATAATATAATTATATTTAAGAAAGTTACCCAGACTGAAGATTGTCCATTGAAGAACATATAGGACACTTTGTTTTATTTCCAAGGTCTACAGTTTGAGTTAGACAAATTTAAGAGGCATAGCAGGAAAAATGTGCTTACCTCTTCCTTTGACTTGCCAGTGATTCATTGTACTTCTGTGCTCATGCTTAGCACAAAGGTCAGGGTTCAGTCTTCCTTACATGTGTGAGGTTTTTTCTACCTTTGAACTTTTAAAAACACTTTATCATAGATAGCCCCAAAGACCAGTGCGTCTTCTTTCATCACTTTGCTTTCTAATAATGCATACAATTTGGCTATTGGCGATGGTTTTTAAAGGGATTTTGCTGAAAGTATATGGAACAAGTTTGAGAGGGATCTGGATACATTATTTTCTATGGGAAAATCCCAGAAAGTAGAATTAGAGAAAAATATAGTCTTGTTTTTTCAGGTGGAGGCAGTATATAATTCTTGGTAGCCTATTGAGTTGCAGTAAATCAACAATTTAAAAATTAGACATTAGTATATAAATATGGGTTCTCTGCATTTTCCTTGCAGCTTTTTCTTGGTCAGTCTTGACAAAGATTAACTTATAGCCACAAAATTTGCATTTTGCATTTCTCCATCCCTTTGTCTATTTACTTGCTGTTATTCTAACTGGCTTCTCCATTCCCAGGCACTTCTTGAACTTTGATCTCAGAGGCACACGACTCAATAATTTCACAAATATTTTCCATAGCACAAAACTGTGCTTTATTTAAAAGTTGTTGGCTAACTCCATAAACAACAGGGAAACCAGATATTTATTTCAAGTGCAATGAATATTCTCTACTTTCATATGTTGTTTCATGCTAAATATTAACATGACAGTGAACTCACTCTTTTCTACCTTTCAAGCTGGTAAGTTTTTCTGATGTGCCCAGTACTGTGAATATCACCTCCCCAGTACTTTCAAGCTTAAAGTGACTTACTCTAAGCTTACTCCTTTTTAGGAGTAAGACTTACTCTGAGTAAGTCTACTTACTCCTTTTTATTCTGCTCTCCTCAGACCCCTGAAAAATTAAATTACATCACCCAAAATTGTACTGTCTCCCCTGAATTTACTATTCTCTGTTGATCCCATTTATATAGAAATGCTCAATCTCCAAGTCTTTCTGATCAAGACCTTTCACATTATCTCTTTCTCTTCATTGCCACCACTCTAGTTTTCACACATTACCAGAGCTTCGTTGGCAATGTCCATGAACTATTGTCCACGTTATTGTAAGACTTCTAGGGATGACCTTACCAGCTAAATAAGCAATCAGGGCACCAGCTTCATCTTTTTCCCTCTTAACATCAAGCTAATCTCCAGCTTAAGAGTCTATTTCTCATTTTCATTTGCAATACTTTTCTTTTTTTTTTTTATAGAGGCATGTTTTATTTATTTATTTGTTTATTTGTTTGTTTTGGTTTATACTTGCACTGGGTACAGTCAGAAGTGCGGGAGGGAGAGAGAATTCGCCAGAGCGGGGAGCAGAACAGGCAGAAGGACGGAAGTACACTGCTGAGGGGAGCAGCGGGCGGCAGGAGAGGTCTGCGCGCCATGTGGGACCCTCCTCCGGTGGCCGGGGAGCAGCCGGGGATCGAACCGGCGCCGCAGAGGCCGCGGGCAGCTTCGCAACCCAGCGCTCAACCGCTGCGCCACCGGGGAGACCCTGCAATACTTTTCTAACTGGACTCCCTGCTCCAGTATTGAATGTTTCCAGTCTAGTATTCACATGCATTCAAGAGCAATCCCACAGCATAAATTCCTTGGCACACCACTCTGGTTTCTCACTCCCTGCAGGATTCATTCCAAGGTCTTCAGCACAGCATTCAGAGACTACCATGATCCATTTCCACTTCTTTTTCGATCCCCCGCCCCAAACTTGCACCTTCTCCTCTTCTTCCCTTTTTGGTACCCCATACTCCAGCCACGATAAACTTAGTGGATATCCATGCTTTTTCATTCTTTCTCTTTTTTAGACTGAGTACTTCACTGAGAATGCCAAGCCCAACTCTGTTGACCTAGCAAATGCAAGCTCACCTTTCAAGGCACTGTTCAAGTGTTATAACTTCTTTGAAATTTTTTCTAACCTACCTCTTGATTTGGAGCCTAGCACCTAAATGCACCATCTGATGCCGTAAAAGTCCATCATAGTGGTGGAAACTATGTGTTTCCTTCCCTCAGTCTCCACGTATCTTCTCTCTAATCTCTCCAGTTAGAGACTGGAAATCTAGAAAAAAGTTGCTTAGATATCCTATGGTCATACCTCTGATATGAAAAAAACTTTTGTTTTGCTGCTATTCCACAACCTGGACAAGCAGGTGTGAAGGGGCAATGACCGGCCTCAGCATTACTGTATGTGGGGACCATCCTCATAGGGAACAGGAAGCAGTTGTGGCAGTGATGTCAGCAGACCACTGCCCTCTGTTCTGCAGCTTCATGGTGTGAGGCCGAATCCAGTGGTACAGTGATGGGCCCCTGATTTCGATCTTTCATTCCCTTCCAGGTATTTTATAAATACCCATTTCCCTATATTATATTCCTTTATGCTATATGTACCTGGAATGGTTTCTGTTTCCTATATTAGAACCTGACATAGTCCGCCTCTATTAAACTGTAACTCTCTTGAAGGTAGAAACAGGATATTCTTATTATGTACTTGGAACCTGTTATAGAGCTGGCTCTCCCCAAATGAGTGACGGATCCACTGGATAAGCCAATAATGCCTTTAAGTCATATATCACAGTAAGCATAAGCTTCACCCTGATAATCCATTCCTTCTTTAATTTGGGGTTTACATTTTAGCTCTTCCATTTGTGCATATGTTCCACTTACCCTCCACTGGTGTACGGTAGTTATTTAAATGAAAGGGAGGCGGGAGTGTAGTTTGAGACATTTGAGCCATCCTATGTGGCAAGTACATGAACGTTGCAAAGCTGATGTGCTTAGTTAGGGAGAGTTGAAGTGTCTCATCCCAAATTCACTCTCGTTAAAAGGATGTGCTATAAGATATGAACAGATGATGTTCTAATTTTAAATATCCCCTCCCTGCCACTCCTCCGGTGATTTTATCATGAAATAATGTTAAAATGAATCCTGACGTAGTGTTGAGGGAAGTGATTAAGACAAGGAATCCCAAAAATATACCTTGAAAAGGAACACAGTTTGCCTCTCTGATGGAAGGGTGGCCAAATAGAGTTGAAATGGGCATGAGAAAAAGGCTTTTGGTGAATTGTGTGCGATGATCCTCAGGCCTCCTGTTTAGCACATTTCATAGATCCTTTCCAGGATTGCCATCCAAGCTAGCCAGTGTGTGGGGCTTTGTAGCTGGCCACTTATTGTAGGAGGGCTCTGCTCAGATTATTAGAAGGAGTGCTTCTGTGATAATCACCCCATTCCCTTTGGTAGAAATTAAATATTACAGCCCTTGCTAATTATAGGCTAGTGGCTCCGGTGCCCTCCCAATAGTAAATTGCTCTGCAATAGCAGCTGGAAATTGGGGTAGTAAAATAAATACAGAAGAGGCTCGTCAAGCTTTTCTTGCCCATAAAATGAATATAAAATATTGTATTTGTGAAGTTCTATGGAAGGAAATATGGGAAAGATAGCTAAAGTTGCTTACTAAAGAGAATTATGCTATCAAAACACCACTACATCAGCCACTGTTAAAACAAAAATGCAATCAGGAAAATTACTTGAAATGTTTATGTTTGCTTCCAGTTTTCAAATTAAAGTAGAGCATCATTTTCCTTCAGGTTGCCATTCAAATCCTCTCTTCCTCTCCTGATTCCTATAAATGTAGCTGCTGATAAACTTTCTTCAGAAATAGAATGACTACCCTAAAACTGACAATTTATTTTCTTCTCTGACGGCCTCATTGCCCATATGATGTCCAGAAATCAAAAGCACATTTAATTCAAGTTCTTTGTTCAGCTTTTACTCATTTCTGGTTTTAAAACTGTACTATCATGTAAATTGCTGCAGAGTGCTACCTGGGGTTGCAAGTTAGATAGCCCTACCTTGAACCAGACTGCTTAGAGGTAGGCTAGGTTAACACGTTTCTCATTCCAACCAAGATATTTTCATCCAACATCCTTGACCAATCATCCTGTGTCCTCTGAATGTTGACGATCCTCAGTGCTTGTATTAATACCACCTGGATGTACATGCCCATCCTTCTGTTTACCCTCCACCTCCCCGACCCCATCCCCACTCAGACCTGGCCAATTCTGCTTTTGGAAAATCACAGAATATCTGTTCCTCTAGTCAGGGTTGCACAATAGCTAAATGTAAGCTGACAGGTGAAAAAGGTTCTTAAGGAACTCAAACCTCCACATAACAGCAACATCCAAGTTCTGATTGCCTTTAGTTTTTTCTTCCTCTCTCTCTCTGACTCATATCTTCTTTTTTCCCTTCAGTTGGAGTAAACATGATCAACCCAAGAGATACAGGAAGATAAATGTTGGGTTTAAACACAAGACACACAGTGTCGCTACCTCTGAAGGTGTGTGAAAACTGCACAGATGAAAGGAACGACCCATTTACATTCCCACACCGCCTGACCTTTCTGACAGTCCAGATTCTAAAGGGGTGTCTGTGTCTGTGTCTGTGTGTGCGTGTGCTTGTATGAGAAAGAGCGAGAAGGAGGGAGAGAGACAGACAGAGACAAAGACAGAAAACATACACACTCATTTCTGGTCAAATTCTAACCTCAGCCTTAGGTTCCACTTTCCAGATGGATTAAGAACAACTGTGGAGGAAGGTTACCTAAACGTCAGTTTGGGACGAGGAGTCTAGCTGGAAGAGTCATTCTCAAGGGGTGGCTCCGAGGCCATCAACAAACGTCTGACAGCTCAGACCTACTAAGCTCACCGGTGCCGGGTGAGCTTAGCGGTCCTGCCGGCAGGGGGCGCGAGTGTTCGCTAAACGGAGTCCACGGGGCCTTGCGGGGGCGGGCGCACAGATGCGGGGGCGGGCGCACAGATGCTGGGGCACGCGGTGCGTCGGTTCCCTAGGGCACCTCCTGTGGTTTGAGGGCATGGGCGACAAGTATGCTACCCTGCAGCGGGCACGGCTGCATCTGGATTTCATCCACGCCAATTCGTGAGTGCCCGTGGGGAGTGGGAAAGGGGTAGGGGTGGGGAGGCTCTCCTAAGTGACGGAAAAGAGCTTTGTACATGTACTAGGGAAATATTCAGTCTGAAAAATAATGATAATGACTTGGTATCACTGATTTATATAAATATTTGTTTATTTAAGTTGTGTATACATGTTTAAAAAAATTGGGATAGTGATAAAGATATCTATTTTGGGTCAGACTAACCTGTTTTGGTGCCCTTCAATTAATGCCAAGTGGTAGAAGACCCCATGTTTAGTATTTGAGAAAAGCTATTTAATTGTAGGTCAGCAGAAGTGTAACTCTACCGAACTCGCCTATCTGTAGTCATTTCTCTGCCCAACACACTGACATTTTAAAGATTAAAGATGTCCTCCAGAGAGTACATGTAATTTGTATTTATTGATTGCAGAGTCTGTGACCTCCTGAGTATTTCCAAAAAAATGTAATCTCTCTGAGGATAGGAATCTCACATTTTGGTTATTACTAGGGCACTCCTCTGTCAAGCTAGGATGCCTTTGGAATGTCTAATCATTAGGTGTTACTTCAACTACTCAGCGGTTCTTATTCCAGCTGTCATTTCAACACAGTAGAACAGCACTGTGTAATTCACATCAGTATGTTGGTTTTTTGGAAACTTTTGAGTAATTTGGATTAACTAAAAGTATTGATTGATATAAAGTATGCACCAAATTTGAAACCACAGAAACAGAATTGGAAAGAAAGGCAGGGGAAGCTAGTTTTGCTATGTGGGGCATTCGATATAGTTTTTAGAGAAAACAGTAAAGCAGGCAATCTTAGCAGGTATTTAGTTTTTATCTTTCTAGCATAGAGAATAATTTCAAATTGGAATGGATGGGAAAATAGTTAAAAGTTAACTGAAGTGTATATACCATTTGCAGCAACATAGAAGGAGCTAGAAGGGATCATGCTCAGTGAAATAAGTCAGAAGGAAAAAGAAAAATATTGAATGGTTTCACTTATAGGAGGAATATAGGGGAACCAAATAAGGGAACAAGGGGAAAATAATAACAATAAAAAACACAACGAAATAAAACAACAATAAAGAGACATAAATCAGAGACATTCTGCAGGGGAGGGGGAGGGAGGGAAGAACACAGGGACTCTGGTGACGGTGCACAGGTGAATTGGGGGTGGAAATTCTATGAGGACTACACCTGAGAAAAGAAAGCAAACATTGTAAAAAAAAAAAAAAAGGAACAATGATGTAAAATTTATAGATATATGTAAAAAAAGAAAGCCTGCAAAAAATAAAAAGTTGACTGAAGTGGAAGAAATGACAATTTTGAGGAGTTTAAGTATAAGCTGAATATTGAAAGGACTATGGATTTTATCTTGAGAAAGTTACTCATCTTCCTTTTCCTGTAGTTTTGCAGCTATTGTTTTTTCAGTCTTCTCCTCTCCAAAGTTACCCTACACTCACCCTTTAGTCAGTTGGTGATCTGGTAACTCAATAACAAAAGTGACAGCAGCCTGAAGTAACAGCAGCATCAGGTACAAATTGACATCTTCCCCTCACCCCTCAGATTTTTGTTTGAGACTTCTCTTAGTAACAACAGGGGTGATTTTTTATTTCTCCCATTGCTTTGCTTCATGTTCAGTCTATCAAGTCTTCTTAATGATATGTCAAATTCATCCATGCCTTTCCATTGCCATTGCCATTACTCCAGACTACCGCCCTAACCTTTCCCCCACATACCCTTTAAACTGGCTTCTCTGCTCTCCACATCTCAAACTCATCTCTGCATTATAACATAGCCAGAGCTTGCTGCCTGCCTTAGTTCTTTTCTGCTGGAATGGTCTTACTGGAGAGTTTCACTGATCAAAAAGGGACTGCATTTTCACCCTTCAGGGTTTCATTTAAATGTCTTTCATGAAGAGGGCTTCTCATTGACCATCTCACCTTCTCCTCACCAGTTAATCTCCCATCAGCCCTCTTTCATAGCTGCTAATCACAATCTGTCATCTTTTATGTGTTTGTTTACTTGTGTGTTTTCCATATCCCTCACTAGCTTGAGCTCCAAAGGGGATAAAGACCATAGCTCTCCATAGTCTGTCCACATTGGCATATGGCAGACAGTAGTGAACATCTCTTGAATGAAAAATTGCAGAAACATATGTGGCATTTTTTGGTCAGAATTGTTGCAGTTATTTTCCTGAAATATTGTTTACATATGTTTATATGTTAAGTTTTTGTATATTGAATCATGTGCTTTCAGTTCACTAGAAAACTTGTGCTTTTAGAAAGCATGTCACCTACACTTCTCTTTTGCCCTATTTTAGATTTGTACACTAGCTTTATTTTAGTAACAGTTGTGTTTAGTAGTGTTTTTAAAAATAAATTTTAAGCTAACATTGTCTTTAGCCTGAAGTATTTGGCAACTCTGATACATTGCAGGTGATCCCTCCTTTTGTACAAAAGTGCAGGTGTTTTTTGATAAATGGGTCTCTCTTGCTTCTCCTACCTGCTTACTAGATTTAAAAAGAAAATTACACACTAAATCCTCCCACAATATTGTGATAAGATGCTGATTGAATTAGCCACATCAGGAAATGAAAAGCAAGCATGGGGCCCAGAAGACAACCTGATTTCACCCAAAGATGAACATTCAACCTCAAAGTGTTATTAGTAGTGATGACTATCTAGTGTGTTCTGTTAGCTAAGACCTGGCACTGGGGGAACGGGACAGAATGACGCCAGGGAATTGATGAGGTTATTTGAGCAGAATTCCGGAGGTGAAAACATTCCACAGAACAATACATCTTAGCGGGGCAAATAGTTGGCCCCTCCCAGTGCTGGGTTCTTATAGCCTATTATCGAACCAGGGTTTTGATCAGGATTTTTCAGAAATAAATTGACCTTAAATAAGATAATTTTTTAATGGAAAATTTTCTGAAAAACATGAATGACTTTAAGGTAATTTTAAAACATGAAAATTTGCTTTTAGCTTGAAATTTTTCTTTTAAAAGGAACAGGTGGGATATTTTGGCCATCGCTTTATAATAGAGCTTTATTTATAATGGAGCGAAGCCTGACTGTGTTGAGAAAGTTGTTTCTAGAATAACTCCTTAATTGATTATCTGTCTAGAACTGGAGAACATTGTCTGCAAACATCTTAGCCTTTTACACTGATTGCAGAGTTTGTTTAACTTTTTGTTTCTCCCCCTATTTCTTCATCAGCACCACTCACAGCTTCCTTTTTGGAGCACTGGCTGAATTGCTGGACAATGCAAGGTAAGACTTTTCTGTAAACAGAAGTTATTGTGGGCACCTCATGATAGAAGTCAACTCTAATTATATTTAAAAATAAAAGGATAATGTCACTTTTTCCCCACCTGGAATGTTTTGTGGCTTGGTTTTCTCTGAAATCAAGGTATAATTGAACCTTTATGTGTTAACAACCATGTAATAACAGATAGATACTCATTTGGATGTTTATTTTTCTGTATCAATGTATACTGTTCTTAAGGATTTAGATTTAGGCCTGACAGTTTATTGAAGTCTTCATTGAAGTGATTGACATAGTTAACAATCTAGCCAACTGTTATAGCACACCCTTTTCTAAGCACTTCATGTAGGAGTATGAACTCACTCATTTCACAATGCTTTGATGAGAATTAGCCATTTCTACACAAGTGACAGTTGATTCACAGATTCATTTGATGACTTAGCCATCATCATACAGTTAATGTTTGGTGGAGCCTGAGTTCAAATTTGGGGTGTTTGGTTACAGACCTCTCTTTCACCATTCTTCAATAAAATTATTACTGTTTAAGGAAACTTTTTTTTAACAATTTAAGGTTCACTCAATAGAGTATTTGTAGGGGCTTGTGAGGAAGGCATTCTTTTGGCTAATTGAATATGGTTGGCATTTGATTTGCTTTTTATTTTTTGTATTTCCCTCAACAAAAGGTATTACCTGCCTTTTCTGCAGAAAGCGAAGTCTACCCAGGAAGTAGTATTATGTAGTTGTGAGGTCAGGAATCTCAGTAGGGAAACCTAAATTCCATGCTTCTGGTTGATAGCTATATTTTGGGGCTTTTTTTGCATTTGTCCCCTATTTTTGACCCTAGTAGGGAATAACAGGATGTAGTCAGTTTGACAACCATCAAGAGCTTCTTGCACAGCAATCTCCAACACTACATAAAGTCACTATCTCCTCCTTATGTGAAATTCTGTCCTGTAGAACTAATAAAATCACAGTTATCACAGAAATGGCAAGATGAAGAAAAAATAAGCTTGGTTGGTCAGGAGAGTGATGAACTCAACTTAGAAGGAATTAACGGGGATGCAACCAAAACAATGAATGTTCGAACATGGTTAGTCTCTCTCCAAGAGTTCTGGGTTGCTCTTGCATACTCTGGTCAAGCTGTGAACAAGGTTCCAGATATAAAAATAAAAAACATATTAGGCCTTCCTTCTTTGAATGTCCAATTTTAGCACCTTGGCATCTGTAACTCTGAAAGAACAATCTCAACCTAGACATGGGTAACTCTGAAAGAATACATTTGCCTGTTCTCTCAGTTGTCCATTCTCTAAAATTGTTTCACTTATTCATTCAACAAAGGAGAGCAGGGCAAATCAGAATGTAGAAGAACCAGAAAAGTGGGGATCGTTTTTATAGCTGAGAGTGATTGGGAAAGAAAGATTGACTTTGGAATCAGGTGAGTGACTGAAATGTGATCAATAAAGCAATTATTAGAGCAGCATTTGGGAGCTGGTAGCCCCCTGCCCAAGTTCAGCCTTTGTCATGTTTGCTAGATTCATAGTGAAAGTTAGCAGTGTTTATAAACAAAAGGAAGAAAAGAAGGAATTGATTGTAAAGTTTAAGAAACAGGAGGCACCAAGCAAATCTGGAACCCACCTTTTTTTTTTTTTTTTTTGAACCCACCCTTTTTTAAAAAAAGATAAGAAGTAGCAAACTTGAGGTCACATTCCTCAGTGAGATCAGGTGGTAGGTATATGGCAAGGTTTCCCTTGCACCCTCCTGTGCCTTCAGTTCCCAGTGCTCCTCAGCCATCCTGAATGCCTTCCTGAGTTCCTCCCTTCCGTAGACACTTGAGTTTGCCATTACTACTTGGATGCTAGTATTTGACATCAAATGAAGCTATTGAACATTGGTCTCATGGAGATGGACTTCATAAAATCCCCATGTTATTCTAAGAAATTACTTTATATCATTATATGAATGATTTTGATAATTTCCTATAGTTGCCAAGGTGAGAATTGGAAGAATATTGTAGAAACAGTAGGAAAACTTTAGTAGTGTAGAAAGGGAAATGATTGGGGGTTTCTTCCTAATACAGCTGTTCAGAAAAAAGTACTTGGGCTAAAGTACGAGGCTTAATAAAAAATTATATGCTCTAAAGGTGAATGATTGTTCTCTGCCTGATCCCATGGAATGTCTGTATGAAGAAGCCACTTCTTTGAAAACTTCCATTTCAGTACAGTATCATTTATTGCAGTTGTTTTATATATGGTACCTTATATAATGTATGAAATACTCCATTCAGTTCCTACTTGACACAGAAAATACTCAAGAAATGGCAGTGATAACCAGAGTTTTTATATAGTAGAAGCTTAAAAGCATCTAGAGAAAGAAGCAAAGGGACTAACTTTGCAACTAGACTTGTAGAACAATACAGTGTACCAACTCAGGTTGATTTGGGGCAATTTTGGGTTGAGATTGATAGACATTTTGGGGAGAGACTGATATTTTATATCACAGTTCCACTGGTGGTTTTTATTCTTTGTTTTGAGTCCTTTTCTCAGCAATCTTTCTTCTGCATCAGCTAAGACCCCCTTGTTTGCTTTTATCTCACATTCTTGACAGTGAAACCAGGACCTCCATTCTATTTAAATTTAGACTTAAAAAATAATAAAACAATATCTATGCATTACAGAAAACGAAGAAAAAAGAAAATGAAATTCATCAGTAATCTCATCACTTAGAGTGGGAATCAGAATAGTAAAAGAACAGATAGTAAATATTTTCACTTAGGTAGGCATGTATTCTCTTGTGGGAACTGTTCATTTTCGACACTGCACTTTGAAGACATTGTACTGTGAAGGCAGCCATATATGGCTATATGAATGGACATGACTGTGTTCTGATAAAACTTTATTTACAAAAACTATTGATGGGCCAGACTGGTCTATGTGCCATAACTTGTAAACCCCTAACCCAGAGAAAATCACTATAACATTTTGGCCTTTTTCCATACAGATATACACATGTATATCAGATGTACTCTTTCAAAGTTGACCATACAGAACATATTATTTAGTGATTTGGTTTTTCTCTTCAGTTTATTTTAGCTGAAATATATTACGAAAATCTTCCAATGACTTCTGGATTGTTCTCCAAACAATTTTTTTTTAAAAAAATTCATAGACATTTTGTTGTAACTTTTGTGTAACTACCATATATTCCATCTCTTAAATTTATGGGTTTCAGACTTGGTAACATTCTCAAATTACAAGTGATCATAGGTCTTAGTATATAAATGCAAAGGGGAACTTTTTTGTAATTGTTTTTCAAGCAATTTAAGTGGGTTTCTCTTTTGTTTGCTCCCTGACAATAGGTTATACCTCACGTAAGTAATTCAGATTAATGTAATTTTCTAAGGCATAATTTCATATTGAAGCAATGATATTTTTATATTGTTTCCAGAGATTCAGGAGCTGCACGACTTGATGTGTTTTCAGGTGAGCAGATTTGCTTTATTCTCTTTTCCTTTTAATGGAAAAGCCTGTATAGTTATTTTGCTTTTATTTTATTTCATGAAATCAAGCCACATTCTATGATTTTTAATGTAATCTAAGTGCTTTGTGAGCAAGTGACCCTATGGGGAGCCAGGTTGAGAAAAGTACACTCAGAGAGTGAAATGTTCAGAGAGTGAAATGTTCACTTGTTGGAGGACCCATTTACAAAATGAGATCTTCCAGAGATTTTGAAAGCATGAGTGATTTGGAGTAGTCAATTTGTTTGCCACGAGAAAAGAATTTTATTTTTAAAAGCATATTAAATTAATGGCTATTCATAATTAATATACATCACTTCTAACTTATCACAGTTAAAATGGGTAAGTCAATGTGCAGTATGTATATTTAAGGGCTATAAAATTCAAACCAAATACGTTTTCTTCGTTGACTTCATTTTCAGTCGTGAAGTATTAATTGCAATTACTAGTTCATTTCATGTGAATGTGATGCAAATGAAATTAGGTTCTGTGATTTGTCCCTGCAGTTAGCACTACCTAAAGAAACACTTATGATATAAAAACTCATCCCTGTCCCTGACTTTATCATCTCACTTGTAAATATTGACTATTGATCACAGGCAATAGGTTGTCCATTGTATAAAGCCCTGAGTTATAAAACAACTCAGTTCAATTCAATTTTCGGTGTTCAAAGTCCTCTGTTAGGTGGGTACTTGTGGTTTCTATGGGAGGGAGAGACTAATATCTTGAGATATCTGAGGAAACAACATAAATGATACGTCCCTTCCTATTCTGCATGTTCTGAAAAGTTTGAAAATAAAACATGTCTTTATTATTGATAAATGCTAGGTTGGAATATGGAGCTTAGTGATGATCAAACCCCCACCTCAGACATTAACTCAACCACTAGTCGGGCTTCCCTTCAGATCTGGTCTGGTCGGGGAAAGTGGAGCCAAACTTATGCTCTCTGCAGGCAGCTTGCTCCCAGGAGGGGTCATGAAGGTGTGAACTGAGCCACCCCCATAGTACCAGGCAGGTGAGCTGGCTTGCTGCTGCAGGGGAAATGCCTACAGAGAGAGACAGGCCCCTTATTGATACCGGTTGAACTCCATTCCACGTAGAAGAAAAGAGCAGTGGAGAAAAAATGGGCTTCCTTTCCACAGCCTTTTTGTAAAGTAAAATAGAACAAGCGTGCCCTGCCTAGGAGAGGCTTGAAATATAATAGGAACACAGAGAAAGAGGTCCTTGTGTTAAGTGACTGGGACTTGAAAGATGGATGTCATTTTTGTCAAGTAATAACTGGAAGAAAAGAATATTGCTGTCTAAGGAATTATTAGAAGAAAGATAACAGAGGTAGACTAGTTCAGAGATTCATTCATTCATTTAAAAACGATTTATTGTGTCTCTGTTGAGTGAACCAAGTGGTTATTCTAGGTAATGGAGATAGAGCTTTGAGCAAAATTCAAACCAAGTATGTTGGATTAAGTCTGTACTTACTTAGAACATGCATTCTAACAGGGAGAGAGAGACAATAAAAAAATGAACAAATAAATGGTAAGTGCTAAGAGGGGGAAAAAATGAAGGGCGATAGGAATAGAGAGTGATGGGAAGAATGTACTAGTTTTGCATGTGGGTGATCAGTGAAAGTTTCTCTCAACTGGTGATAAACCAGGAATGGACTTGAATGACCTGAAAGAGAGAGCCAGGTAGATAATTGTAGAATCAGCACTGAACTGTCCTTAGCATGGATACCATGCTGTTTTTTCTTCTACAGACAGACCATTGAAGAATTTTAACAATTTCATTTGTTCTATTTAGAAATGCACTCTTCTTTTTTTTAAAGGAAGATATTCCAGCATGGCATACAGGATGGTCTGTAGCAGTGTAAAATAAGAGAGATAGGAGGGAAGTGCAGCTGTGGAAATGACCAAAACAAGATTTTACAGGAACGTGAACTAGGCGGTGGTCTGAGGAACGGAGAGCAGAAGAGTTGATTCAAGCTGCATTTCTCTCAGAGCACACATATTATTGATGAAGGGTTGAAGTATTGAAGAATTATCTGGAATTACAGAGTACAACAAATGTAGTCAGAATATTATGGTCATTTGAGTTTGAGGCGGGACACCAACAGGTCACGACAGAGTTAATTTCACTGTATTTTCCCTGGCACTTGGTATTGTCACCCAAAAAGTAAGCTTTGCAATTTGAGTTGAAAGTGGTATCTATTTAGGTATTGTGCATTTTGTGAACCACTAAAATCACTATTTTAAATGATCTGTATATGTTCTAATTTTTTTTATTGCAACACACTACAATATGCCTGTCAACTCAGCAAATTGATTTTTCTTAAAATAAGCAGTCAAGGCTTTTAAATCAGTAGATAGAAACAATATTAAGATGCATAGTTTATGAATTGCATTAGTTTTCAGGTAATTTACTGAGGCCCTTGAACTATTCTATTAACTTTTCTTCAAGTAGCATCAGAACTATAAAATTTAAACTAAACAGTTAGCCATGGGTGTTTAATATGTATTCTAATAAACATGGATATGTATTCAGTATTTTTTTAGTACTTACCCAGAGGCAGGCATTAGACTAATAATTCTGTACATACAGTGATTGCTTTAAAGGAATTGGGCTGCTGGTGTTGGAATCCATGCAAAATATTGTGTGTATCTCCACTTTTATATGTAGAAGACCCATAGCTTTTCATCATATCTCTGAGGCAGCTGTGTACTAAAAAATATAAGAACTTCTATTCTGAAAGAGAAGTAGGTACATGCACAGGTATTGGAATATATTATGAATGGTGGGAAACATAAATTATAAGGAAAACATTCATTATGGGCAGAGTGATTAGGAAGACCTCTTAGAAGAATTCTTATATGAACTAATATGAATTCTTATGTGAATTTCCTGAAGGGAAAATAGGATTTAGCCTGATGAATCAAGGATAGAAAGGGCAAAGGGCAGTATGTGCCTGGCTTGAAACTGGAGAGAACATATAGCACTGATGAAATTATAGAAATGTTTGAGATGTTTAAGATCAAATCAAGGGAGTATTTGTGTGGAAGTGGAAGTTTGTGGTATGGCTGTATGGAGGAGATGAAAGGAGGTGGACTTGGCGAGGGTATTAGTCATGGTTCTTCAGAAAAACAGAACCAGTAGGTTAAATATCTCTCTTTGTCTATTCATCTATCTACCCACCCATCCATCCATTTGTCTATCTGTCAATCAGTCATCTGAGATTGACTTTTTTTTCCAAGGAATTGACTCACATGGTTGTGGGAAACTGGCACATCCCACATCTGCAGGACAGCAATCTCAAAACTCAAGCAGGATTTTTATGTTCCAGTCTTGAGGCAGAAAATTGCTTTTCCCTTGGGAAACTTTACTTTTAATACTTCAACTGATTAGACGAGGCCCACCCACATTAGGAAGGATAATCTGCACTTTCTAAAAGTCAGCTGATTGCAACTGCTATTTACATTCATAGGTGCTTTCATAGCAATATCTAGACTAGTGTTGACCAGACAATGGTACACTATCACAGAGAGGTTTGGGGGTGAGGGTACTGGATAATGGAAGGCAAGCAAGACTTGTTAACTGGTTTGGATTTTATCCTGTGGGCAGTGTTTGTGACAGAAGAGTAGTGAAATGTACAACTGACTATAGAATATCTGCACCCTGATTTTAGTGAGAGAAAGGACTTAGGAAGTTGTTGTCATAACCTAGAAGAAAGAGAAACATTTTCTGAATTAAGGCAGTTGTAGCAGAAATGAAGAAAGTCGTCACATTAAAGACATGCTGCAAAGGTGGAAGTGAGGAGGGAGGTCTGTATGTATAAAGGGTGAGGAGATGGAGGACTTGATGGCCCTGAGGATCTGACTTGGCAGCTGAAGCCTCATGGCTGGGTCATGCCATTTGTGGAACAAGAAATATTGGAGGGAAGAGTAAGTCTGATGAGATAATAAGTATTATGAGATGAAAAGACATTGTGGTTTTTTGGCATGCACACTTAGCAGGTAATAGAATCTATCTGAAATTGATAGTTTTAAGGAATTGAAATAAATAAGGCTAAGCTTCAGTGTGGATAATAGGGGAATGTTAAATTTTGAGCTGTGATTATCTGTCCTGTATTGGGACTTATAGGAAAAAATAAGTAGTTTAAATATGTCTTTTTGTAACTTTGAGCTTTCCCAAGTTATTCACTGAAGAAATGCCCTTCTCTCTGCAAGCTCCTTTTGTGAGAAGTCTAAATGCAAAATCAGTTGTTGCAGCTATGCAGAACTGCCAGGAGCTTGTATCAAGTGGTTTCCAATCCTAAAAGACATTAGGTTAATGGGCAGAGTGTATATTTCTGAACCCTATACAAGACCAATTAATTAAGACTATCTCCAGATGAGTCACATGAGCAACGAGGAATAACTACAGCATTGTACAAAGAACTAATAAGAGTTGGATTCTACTTGTTGAATAGTGGAGAAGCAGCAGCCCTGGTTAGAGGGAAGACTGAATAGAATAAATGCCTACAAGACGGCATGAATGTTCTGCCATAGAATTTGAGGTGAGCAGATCAGAGGATTGGTTAGAAAGAAAAACCTGGAAAAACGGGAGGGTAGGGAAAATCTGTAGGGTTTATAGATAGGAAGTAAATTAGAAAGAGGAGGAAAGATTAGAAATGGCCACTTGACATTACAGTTATGAACCCAGAAAGCTTAGGTATATTTCCATGGTTATTTATGGGTTATCTTGAACATTATTTAATTTTTAAAAAGTGAATTAGAGGTGACATTAAACACAGAGGTAGATTTAACAAATATGCTGTAAATGAATTGGCAGGTGTAAAATTAACAGTGACTGTTTGGGGTGAGGTAGGGCTAATAGGACTTGGAAGGGGCAGAGGGAGAGATTGAAGACACTGAAGGAAGCATCTGGGATGATGGGTATGTTCACTACCTTGATGATGATGGTTTCATAAGTCAAATTATCAAACGCTACACTTGAAACATGTACAGCCTTCATGTGTAAGCTAAATAGTGTTATAGCAGAGAGAGAAACTAGAACTCATATAGCCAAGTGTTCAAATTACTTTCAGAGCCACATATCAAACTGTGCATTAAAATTATTTTCATTAGTTTTAGTTACACTTTACAAATATTTTTAAACAAGAGATTGTATTATAACTTAATATATCTTAATCATTAAAATTGATTCCAAATAGCTTAGCCATTTTCAAACGTCAAATGTATCCTCAAGAGGCAAATATTTGTTGCGACTCAGTTGCACATATAGATGGCTCTTGTGAGGACTAATTACTTAGAAAGGAGTCTGATGAATTTAAAAAGAATAGCCTATATTGACTTTGAGAGACTGTGTAAGACAAAGCAAACCATCCCAGCTGAAGCCACTCTAGGTCACTAGGCAGCTCCCAACCAAACCAGTGGTCAAGGCAACCAGCAGTGACCAGAAGAAATGCCCGACTGGGCCATTCATTCCTGCAAATTGTGAGCTGATTAAATGATGGTTGATTTTAGACACTTAAAAAAAAAAAAACTCATGTTTTGGTGGAAGGTTATAAAAGTTGATCAGTTTGATAGATTATGGGGTGACTTCCCCATCTACCTTTAGTCTCTAGGGGAGAGAGAAAATATCTGAAGTTGAATGGACCAGTCCAGTTCCAGAGCTGGGCACGTCATGTATTCTACGTAATTTATTAATGTCTAGATGTTTTATGTTAATGTGAAGCCTTTTGCTTCATGATTATTTCCCCCTGCAGTTTCTTGTGAAACTGTAGCCAAGACTCTTTTCTGAGATCCTTCTTTGTGCCATAACTCTGTCACTGTGGCTGCATTTAAGGAGGACAAATAATTATGCGAGCAGCATGACTTTCTGAAGAACAAATTAAGCCCAATATTTATTAGTAATAACTGCTTTCTCTTACAGTGGATAATGAAAAACTGCAGGGTGGATTCATGTTGTGTTTCCTGGATGATGGATGTGGAATGAGCCCTGGTAAGTTAATTATCCAGATACCTAAGTCGCTGTTAAAGGAAACAGTCTGAAAACCCATAAAAGAAATAAAAATGAATTGAGCCATGTATGTAAAAACAGGTATGGAGTTATTAGGGAACATAAACCCTAGACTTAACAAACTGGTGAACTTTCTAGATTTAAATATTCAGTTTTAAGAGTAAATTCATTGAAGACATGTAACCTGATACAAAGAGTGAATTATTACTAGAAAACTGAAAGGCAGAAGGTACCCATTACCTGTAAGATAAAGCATTTGGGAATGAATGGAAAACAAATTGCATCTGGCTGAGCTTTAGATTTTTTTAGACTTCTCTTTAGGTCTTGGTTGCAGGAGCCCCCAGGCAGTTTCTGATACCTTTAAACTATTTTTAATTTTTTGCTTAACCTTGAGGTGGAGGTCTTCTCTTTTTGTTTTTAGGTGGGTTTGTTTTTTTCCCCTCCCTATTCAAAGGTTTTATTGCTTCAGTTGAATTTTCCCATCATGATGAATACATCTACTTGAATGACTACATTGTGTGGCTTATCTTTTATTCTTCAAAGCTAAAAAAAAGTCAGCACAGAGGTCCTCCCTGGTGGTACAGGGGTTAAAGTCTCAGCACTATCAAGCTATCTCCGGCCATTGCAACATGAGTTTGACCCCAAGCCAGGTCGCTAACCCACATGACGCATCAGACCTCTCCTGTCTCGCCAAATGCTCCCCTCAGCAGTGTATTTCAGTCAATCCACCTCTTCTGTTCCCCACTCAGTCTCTGTTGAATCCGCTAACCCCTGGCACCTCTGATCTATACACCCCAGTTATTGAATGCATAAATAAAAAAAAAAAAGCCAGCACATAGTTGGTAGGTGCTCAGAACCTGTTTGCTGTGGAAGTGAAATGTTATTTTCTCTGATAAGGAGCTTGAGTTATTTTGGGTAGTTCATCCCTGAATTTTTTTTAAAAAAAAGATTTATTTATTTATTTATACAAGCACTGGGTACAGTCAGAAGCATGGGAGGGTGAGAATTCACCAGAGCCAGAGGGGAGAGAAGAGCAGGCAGATTGATGAAGTACACTGCTGAGGGGAGCAGTGGGCGGCAGGAGAGGTCTGAGCGCATGTGGGACCCTCGCCTGGCGGCCGGGGATTGAACTGGCAGAGGCTGCGGGCGGGCAGCTTCACTGCCCAGCACTCAACTGCGCGCCACTGGGGAGGCCCTCATCCCTGAATTTTTATTCAGCTTGTCTGTGTCCCACACACTAGAGTTTCTGATCACTAGGTTTAAAAACTGCTGAGGGAGTTCAAGTAATATGGAAGTGTTCTTGTCAGTTCCACACCAAAGGACTGATAGAAAAATTAAGTTCACTGGACTGATAGAAAAACTAAGCAGTTGTCTTCTTCCAAGTCTGAAAGTTCCACTTTGTTCTGAATACTGAAAGAATATTTATGAGCAAATTTTAAAAATGCTCAAATATCCCACCAAGTTCTTATTCTGATTTTGGATAATTTTAATTTTTCCAGGTCATTTTGATTAAAAGGATTATGGATTCCTTTGTTTATATGAAATAAGGAAAGAACAGGGTTTGTGAGAAAAATATGCTGAAGTTAAGTTTTATTTTCTACGTCTGGAATGAATGTTAAATTCATTCTCCTGTATTCCCAAAATTACTTTATGTAATGTATTCTAAGGCAATTCCTTTATTAAAAAAGTAATTCCTTTTATATAGATTCAGGAACAAAATAATCAAAACTTAGACAAGTGACAGATATTTAAATAAAAAGGAACTGATACTTGAGTTGACATGTACAGTAGTAGTTAAGAGTGCTCATCAGTGTTAATGGAGCAATTCTTTATTAACACTGATTGGAAATTAAATATTAAGTTAGAAAGAAGAGTTTATTTGATGACTGAAAATAAAATCTATAATCCAAACTGAGCTAGCTCGATCTGGACCCATAGCAGAACTGCAGTAATTTCCAAAATCTTTTCACTTACATTCTTAACCCACTATCGTCCATTCCCAACGCAGCAATCCAGAGCAATTTTTTTCTCTTTTAATAGAAATCATATCATCTTGTTCCCCTGCTTAAAATCCTTGGTGGCTTTAGATTAAAAGTCATATTCCCGGGCCTCGCTGGTGGCGCAAGGGGTTAAGACACCATCTATGAAGCTATCTCTGTCACTGCAGCATGAGTTCAATCCCCAGCCGGGGAGCTACCCACATGGTGCAGCAGACCTCTACTGACTCACCCGCTACTCTCTTAAGCAGTGTATTTCAGTCAAATCCGCCTATTCTGTTCTCTACTCTATCTCTGGTGAATCCTCTCACACATACCTCCCCCACACCTCTGGCCTGTACCCTAGTTATTGTATGCATAATAAAAAATAAATCTTTAAAAAAATTCATACTCCCAGTAACACTTTTTTTTTGTATTATTTGGCCTCTGTCCACCTTTTCCACCTTTTTTCCTACCACTTCCTTCCTTCCTTATAGCATACCAGCCACACCTGGCTCACCTATCATCATTTGAATTTCATCTCAGGTATCACCTTCCAGTCTTTCTATCTCATGAAACCTTCCTAGTTCTTCTGTCTGCAGGTCACCTTCCTTTTAATTCTATTCACATCCCCCTGGTTTTTGTACATTTAAACACTTTCAGAAATGATCTTATTTTTTTTGTTTGCTGCTTTTACTGTTTCTCCTACCATGACATAAAGTTGTTGAGGGCAAGAGGCATGTCTGTCCTATTCTATGTTCTGTCCCTGTAACCAGAACTCTGTCACCTTCCTTGCGGCACTGTGCAATGTGTGATGTAACCCATGGCATTTGGTCTTTGATAACTGGTTGTAATCTTGCCAGTAGCATTTATCAGCTTGGGCAGGTTACATAACTCCTTAAACTAAAATTTCCTCATCTATAACGTGCAGATCATGTAAGTATTGTGATTTTTAATTATAGATTATAAAATCATATAAGATTAAAATAGTGATATCTTCCTGTAGATTGGTTACTGATATTAAATAGGTAGTGAATCTAAAGTATGTGATACAGTAATTAGCACATATGAAACAATAAATGGTGACTAAAATTTCTGATCACAATTCCACTGTGTGGTTGGACTCCTGCCTCTCCCCCCACTCCCATTGTAAACAATTCTTAGATAGCACCGGGATATCCCACAATTTAACTCAATTTTGACACTGTCTCCACAGATTCCATAGACTAAGGGCTAAGTCCTATAAGACTGCTCCCTCCCACATGCCTATGCAAAGTGCAGGTTTTTATCTGTACTTCTGACTTGCTGGCTATAAGTCAGAGGTTTCATGCTTTTCTCCCTGGGTTAGATTAATATGCAAGAGAGGCTGGCTGCATTCAGGAAACCTGTTTACTCACTAGATTACCAGATTATTACATAGAACACTATGAATTAACAGGTAGATGAAGAGATTCATAGGGTGTGGTCCTGGAAAAGAAACTTCTGTCCTTGTGGACTTTGGGTCCCTGGTGTGGTGGAACATGGAAACCTTCTTAGTCCCTAACTTGTAAGCTCTCTGAATAATCCCATTTTTTTTTTTTAATGAAGGCTTCATTACATAGGCATGATGATTGATAAATCTTGGTTGTTGGTGATTAATTCAAACTCCAGCTCCTCTCCCCTTCCCTGAAATTAGGGCAGGGGACTGAAAGTTCCACCCCTCTATTCATGATTGGTTCCCCTGGGAAATAGCTTGTATCCTTAGGGGTTTTCAAAAATTCACATCATTAACATCAATCTGTTGGTGATGGAAAGAAGCTTATTATGAATAACAAGATATCCATTTTAACTTTATGATTCTGAAGCAATCTTAGGAATGGAGGACAAGAGATCAAATAGATATTATAACTAAAGAAATTACCATTGATTGTTCCTTTTTGGGTCAGTTTTTTACTGAAGTAACATTGCATTCTAACATAAATTTCAGGTGTACATTATTAATCAACATCTTTGTATACGGCATTACTCTTACTATTCATGAAATTCCAAGGATTTTGAGAGCTATGACTTGTGGACAAAAACTAAATATATGTGAGAAATATACTTTGGTTATCTGGACGACCAAATACGTATTTCTTACAAATTACTATATTACAGCAACTAATATTATTATTATAGATATCCTCACTTAATAACCAACCCCTTAGAAGATTATATGACAGAACAACCAAACCCTTAGATAAGGTTATATGATAGAATGTCCAAGTAGTTTTGACAAATGGAGTATTCCATACCAGGTGCCACTGAACTATATAGTTCGTCTGAACTGACACTGACTCAGGGTTCTCAGGACAATTCTTAGAGCAAGTGTTTAGATAAACCAGTTGGGAGTCCCAGTTCTATCTCCTCTAGAAACATTCTTTTTCCTGGAGGTAGGCACATTCTGAAGTCCCAGGATACTTGTCTAGAGTTTGAAAATGTTCTGGAGAGATCAGGAGAATGACTCAAGAGTCCAAAACAAGGAGACTTTCTTCTTCAGGTTAGTATCAAACCAGAAGACATTCTGACCTTTTCATTCTCACCTGGGACTGAATATGGGTCAAATTTATGGAAAATACTGGTGGTGCAAATCATAAAATGTGTATTAGCACTTACCAAGTAAGTGCTTGTAAGGTTCTATAAGCTCTGACCAGGATCTTAATGGCAATATATTGAAGGAAATCAGGCGCTCCTAGTCATGTGACCATGAGCAAATAAAATTTGAAACTTTGAGCCTTAATTTCCTCATCTCTAAAAGGGAACTACTATTACTTATAGAGTTGCTTATGAAGATAAATACAATAAAATAAATACACGGGTATTACTTCAGGGTGTCACAAACACATTTTGTTTATTTTATTGTATTTATCTTCATAAGCAACTCTATAATATAAGTAATAGTAGTTCCCTTTTAGAGATGAGGAAATTAAGGCTCAAAGTTTCAAATTTTATTTGCTCATGGTCACATGACTAGGAGCGCCTGATTTCCTTCAATATATTGCCATTAAGATCCTAGTCAGAGCTTATAGAACCTTACAAGATTCTTGCCCCTGGGTTGACACAGAGTATGGATTTATTCTAGTGTCCCAACAAATGGACCTCTGGCCAGTGGCAATGACTCATAATTTCTAACCATTTAAACATCTTTGTCAATTACAGAGGAGGCTTCAGATATCATCTACTTTGGAACGTCCAAGAAACGGTTAACAACTTTGAAGTTTATTGGACAATATGGCAACGGTCTTAAAAGGTTACAATTTTTTTTTCCTTTAAAGCATGTATTATTGATATTGGGGACACTGTTTAGTAAAAGGTAATCTTTTACAGAATGATGCATGTTGGAAAGCTTAAGAAAGAGTATTAATGTGAGAGTTCTGCCTTGTCTTTGAATCTCCATACTGGTAACTGACTTTAATCTTTACATTTTTTAGTTAATTCTCAAACAGGTAAGATCTTCTTACGGAGATTACTGAAGCCGCACTCCCTTATGTCTCTGTTCTGTCATTTCTCAGGTTATATTTTAGTTAGGATACATGTGTAAACACCTTATTTTATTAATCTGCCTCAATGAAAGGTGAGGATAAGAGGCTGCTGTCACCTGTGTGGCCCCTGCCAGGGACACATGGTGATGTTTTTTTGAGTCCGGGAACAGCATCTTATTTCCAGCAGTCATGTTTGAAACAAGAGTGTAGGGTGGGCTACATTAAATTCACCTGCTGTACACGAGGAAAAAAAAACAAACTCTATCAAACTCTATATTCCTGTACCTGTACCTTCTGGTGATGAGTCAGCAAAAGAGTAATTTCTATTTGAAGAAGATAAAGAGTACCCTGTTTCTTATTATGCCCCTGTTTTTTTCTTTTTTTAAAAAGATTATTTATTTATTTATCCATTCATTCATTCATTCATTCATTCATTCATTCATTTATTTATACAAGCACTGGGTATAGTCAGAAGCGCAAGAGGGTGAGAGAATTCACCAGAGCCAGAGCGGGGAGCAGAGCAGGCGGAAGGACCAAAGTACACTGCTGAGGGGAGCAGCGGGCGGCAGGAGAGGTCTGCGCGCCATGTGGGACCCTCCTCCAGTGCCCGGGGGAGCTGCCAGGGATCTAACCTGCGCTGCAGAGGCTGCGGGCAGCTTCGCAACCCAGCACTCAACCACTGCGCCACTGGGGAGGCCCTGCCCCTGTTTCTTATCTTCAGTTTTTGAGATGCAAATCATTATGTTCTTTATTTTTAATATAGTGGATCCATGAGGATTGGAAAAGACTTTATTCTTTTTACAAAAAAAGAAGAAACAATGACCTGTGTGTTTTTTTCTCAGACGTTTTGTGAAAGAGAAGGCCTCAGTGAGGTAAGATTTGAGCTTTTCCACGGTAATGGTATTGTTTTCATTTACCACTTTAGGGCTAAAGTCTATCATGGTTTTCTTCTGATTATAATATATAAATTTTAGGAATATGTTTGGAAATGGAGAAAGGGTGGTAAGCTATGTTGGCGTATTTGGAAGTCTATCCTATTGGCCCTTTCATGAGTGGGTTTTTTGTGACTCCTAGGCAATTTTCTGAACTTCATCCATGTATCCAAACCTCCCAGAATAAAAGACTCCCTTTGGTGAAGTGAACCTTTTGGAAGAAGTTTACAAAACATTCCCACCACTTTTGACATAAGTGGATTATCATTAAAAAAAAATAGATACTGGAGAAAGGGAACAAGATGGTAATAGAGAATGTTCCTTGTTTTGCTCCTGAGAGGGTCACATGACAGCTAATCAGAGGGACAGTATACCCAGAAATTCCTGTGACAGGGAGAAATATTGGAACATCCCTTGGACATCAAACAGCAGCACAGACTGCATGGAGGAGATTCATGCTTCATTGAATAAGAGGTGATAGAGAGAAATGCTGGTCTGGGGCAGGAATACAGACAGCAGAGCTGTTGCTCAGTCAGGAACCCTTAGGAGGGGAGAGCTAAGTCAGTGCCTTCATTGATGGGAAACAAGGGCAGAGTAGCTGGGGTATTCCCCACAGGCATGGTTCGCAGTAAAAAGAACAAAGTGCACTGAAATGTCCTCCCCTTCTCCCACTGCTCGGAACTGGTATTGACCTCAGAAAGTGCACTGACAGCACACAGACTTCAGAGCTTCAGATCTAGTACCTCAGAGAGGAGGGGCTACATACTGGGGCCAGTCCGCCCCTCCACCAAAAAAAAGTACATTTGAATCAGCCTCAGGCTCCTTCCATGTCCCTCCCCACCTGTTGACTCAGCAAATGCAAGATAGGTCTCTTCACCTAAGAAAGTCAGTAAAGGCCAAAAAACTAAAATTAAATAATGCCACCTGCCAGAAAAGTAATATTAGTTAAGCACTCTAACTTACTGCAAATATTTTTTAAAAGTAGGGAAATCTAAGGCATCAATATGGGCAGGAAAAAATATATATAACACCTGGCACCTTGAGACCTCAAGGGAATATGACATGATAAGGAGAGAACAGAATCAAACCAGAGACATTATTTTCCTCAGATAGAGTTAAAAATTGCTATAATAAAGAAAATCAAAGAGATGGAAGAAAACACAGAAAAGCAAGTCAAAGCAATATATAAAAGCTAATTAAAGAGAAACAACAAAATTGAAAAAAAAAAAATGGCCTTTGGTGAAAAATTCTATGGGGATTACACCTGAGGGGTGGGGGAAGCCAACATTATTTAAAAATGAACAACAATGTAAAAAATATATAAATAAATAATGACCTGAGAAACATAATTAGTAAACATAAAATAAAAATTTAAATTTCAAGTAAGAAAATAGTAGAAATTCAGGATGTAAAGAGCGCAATAAATGACACAAAAATTTCTTGAGGGCCTCCCTGGTGGCGCAAGGGGTTAAGCACAGCACTATGAAGCTATCCACAGCCTCTGCAGCATGAGTTCGATCCCCCCAGCCGGCCAGGGAGCTACCCACGTGGCGCAGCAGACCTCTCTTGACTCTCCCACTGCTCCCCTCAGCAGTGTATTTCAGCCAGTCTGCGTCTTCTGTTCCCCACTCTGTTGCTGGTGAATCCTCTCACCCCCTACACCTCTGCCCTGTACCTCAGTTCTTATATGCATAAATAATAAATCTTTAAAAAAATTCTTGAGAAAGCATGGAAACAGAATAGACTAAATGGAGGATTAAGTCTGTGAACTCAAAGATGATAATGCACAAAGACCAAGGTAGAAGAAGAGAGAGAAATACAAAATAAAAAGAAAAATAAACACTTCAGAAATTACCCCGTTACATTAAGAAAGGCAACATAAGGATAACAGATATCCCAGAAGAAGAAGTGAGATAGAGGAGAACACAGAGCTTTAGTCAAAGCAATAACAGAGAAAAACTTTCCTTACTTGGGGAAGGAACTGAATATAGTACTGTGAAGCTAAAAGAACACCTGGTTAGCTAAATGTACTGTGACCCCACACTGAGACACATACTGGTGAAACTACCAAGAATCCAATATTCACAAAAAAGAATATTGAAGGTGATAAGGAAAAAAAAAAACCAAACCCACAGTTAACCTGTAAAGGTAACCATCTGAGAGCCAAATGGGAGAAATTACAAGTATCCGATATATATGCTTTTATTCACTCCCTCCATCTGACAGCTATGCATGCTACATTCTCTAATCCAGAAACATTTTGTTTCAGTTCTTCCAGAGAATAAGCATCCAGTCCCTGTGGAGGTGTCGGGGAGGAACTATTGCCAGACTGGGATGTAGATGCTACTTCTACCTCTCTTCTTCCATCACCCTACCTCCGGAGTTAATTCATACCATTGATCTCTGAGTCCCTTTAAGAGATTCTGAATTATAAATCAGGCTCAGTTTTCTCTTTTCTGGCATAGGCTTTGGATTGGCTTTCTCAGATTTGCTGTCATCTACTTTTCAGTTTCTAAAATGCTGATACTATTATTTCATTTTCCATCACCTAATTTAAATAGAGTGCTGAAATCAAGTCCCTTTGTCCTTACATTCCACAATGAATCATTTTAGAATAAAACTCTGAGTATACAAATTTAATTATGCATCTGTTACTTATGAAACTAGAATAGAAATATTCAACTTTGTGTTTTGAAATTTTGCTTAAGAGTGGACTAAATTAGAATCAGATAAAAGGATGATTGATTTTACCTGTGTGTTTCATAAAAATTGTTGATGTTGTTGTTTTATAGGTTGTGGTTCCAATACCTTCATGGTTAACAAGAACCAGAGAATCTATTACAGATGATCTTCAAAAATTCTCAACAGAATTGTCCATAATTTATCAGTATTCTCCATTTAAAACCAATGCTGAATTGATGAAGCAGTTTGATGTGATCTATGGGAAATGTGGTAAGATCATCAAAACTCTGAAATTTTTATGGAAATGTTTGTTTTTAGTGTCGTATGAAAGATACTATACATATGTTTTTATATTTTTCTTTTTACAATATGTGGCGTTTCACATGGGGAAAATCATTTGTTTTATCCATATCAGTTTTCTCTTAAGAGATTCAGTCATGAATAACTCTTAAATCCCTGTCACTGAGAGAAAGGTTTGCACTTGCATGCATGTGGGGAAACTGGATAAGAGGATGATGATTAGGGGAATTCACAGATACTTTACCAGAGAGTAAAGTTAGGAATTGCTTATTGCAGTGGCTAGGAAGAGATGAAGCCATCTTAGTTAGAGTAAGTGACTTGTAAAGTAACAGATTGAAGTTTCTATGACAGTTAATAAAAACTTTGTAGGGCCTCCCTGGTGGTGCAAGGGGTTAACACACAACCAATGAAGGTATTCGCAGCCACTGCAGCTTGAGTTCTATCCCCGGCTGGCCAGGGAGCTACCCACATGGCACAGCAGACCTCTCCTGACTCTCCCACTGCTCCCCTCAGCAGTGTATTTCAATCTGCCTCTTCTGTTCCCCTCTCTGTCTCTGGTGAATCCTCTCACCCCCACACCTGTGGCCTGTACCCCAGTTCTTGTATGCATAAATAAATAAATTTTTAAAAAAATAAATAAAATAAAAGTTTTGTAGAAATTCTTTAACAGATTAACAGGTCTTTCTGCATTCCACCACCCTCCACCAACTTTCTACTCAACATGTTCAATGTGCTGTCTACTAACATTTGCCAGTGTTCAGTCTTTCTTCTGATTTACACCTTTCATATCTAGAAGCAGAGAGAACCCTGCTCTAATGAAAGCTAGGTGTTTTTGCCATCCTTTTCCTGTTGTCGTAGAGGAGAAAAAGTGACAATTAAATAGCTGTTCACTTGGTTAACACATATACCATATATTTTAAGGATAGTGCAACCTCTTAGTTGAGTTCTAATTGTGAAATACTCATATAAGTAATAATAAAGTGTATACTATTTCCTGAATACTTTTTAAAATGCTTTATAAAAATTAACACACTGAATACTCAGAGCAACTCAATGTTGTGTGTGCCTCCTGGGCTCCATTGCATATATTAAGAAAGTTAGGTTCAGAGAAGTCAGGAAATTCATCTGAGGTTATCTAGTAAATGGTTGACCCAAGATTTAAAAATAGGAATTTAGATCCCCATCCAAATTCCTGGCCTCTACCTGTTGTCCCATTTGCTTCAGTACTACCAAAAAAGAGTGTTATTAATGCTTCTTTTAATTTCTCTGACAGTCTTGTTCATCGTTATAGCATAAACAACTTTGTAAGAATTTCTATTTTTTTTTGTTTTGTTTTGTTAACTATGCTTTAGACCAAGGGTCTGCACTATGGCACACAGGTCAAATCTAGCCCTTACCTGTTTTTATAAATAAAGTTTCCTTGGAGTGTAGCCACACTCATTCATTCATGTAATCTCTATGTTTTAATACAATGGTAGAGTTGAGCTGTGTTGAGTTGCAGCAGAAACCACACAGCCTGCAAAATCTGAAATATTTTCACCTGGCTCTTCACACAAAAAAATTGCCAACATCTATCCTAGGTTCAAATAAAGCCACAACAGTACTTCATATTTGTACAAATTTTAAGAATTCATCTTTTTCTACACGCATTGATTCAGTTCTGAAAGTGAGACCTTTATCTACAATTCCAGTTTGACTGAGGTTCCTAACATCTTTCATAATGCAAGTTATGAAAAGAATGTCAAAGCATAAGAACACTGTGAAAGACTTATAATGAATTGAGTAATAATAAGAAGCACAATGTTTTAGAAACTCATCCCTATTTGTCAGAGATTAGAATTTGCTATAAAACATATATCATGGAACTTAGCCTCGCTTTTATTTACTGAAGTACAAGAGGAAATTTGGTCTCTAGCAGGCTTAATTTCTTATATTAAGTATTAGTGCCATGGGTAATAATTATTTTAGTTCAAATATTGACCAAACGTCTGTTTTTCTACAAGGCACATTGCTGATTATTTATAATTTGAAACTTCTGCTTACTGGAGAACCAGAGTTGGATGTTAAAACTGACAAGGAAGACATACTGATGACTGGAGCTCTTGAGGAGTGAGTAACATGTGTGTTTGACAGAATGTCTCTCTACAGTGGCAGTGAGCTAGAGTAGGGAGCCTGAATTCTGGTTCCAGGTCTGAGATCATTGGTCCTCAGCACTACAATTCATTTTACCCCAGTTCCAGATGAAGTAAGTTAGGCTGGACCTCTGGTTCCCAATCCTGACTGAGCCTCTGAGTATCCTGGACAACTTGTTTGGAAATAGAGAGGAACCTGTCTCATCTCAGACCTACTTCCAGAGCTGAAGTCTAAGAATCAGTATTTTTTGTATTCCAAGGTGATTCAGACCTACCAGAACATTTGGGGACCACTAGAATATAAAATCTGTAAGGTTCTCTAATTCCAAAGCTCCTGTTTTATAAATATTAATACTGGGGTAATCCTTGGAGTTTGTTATTCATGATAAATCATTAAAAATGGACACCAGTACAGTGTGAAGTTGAAAGGCACGTCACCAAGTGGCAGTTCAAACTGATCCTGTGAACGGCACACTCTCTGTTCACAAATAAATAAATGCATTCATTTCTCTTGTTTGTTAGGGATTCATAGGAAAAGGATGAGAAAGCAGTGAAGGGGCTGGGTGAGATGTGTGGAAAAATAATTAAAAAGTTGTAACACCAAGGTTTCTCTAAAATAATTTGTATTTAAAACTTACTAGGTTGAACCTGTAGGTCCTTGATGTCAGAATTTTAAAGCTAGATGGGATTTTAAGGGAAATTAATCCAAGTGATTTACTTTATATATTCCAACAGAAATGTGAGAACCATAGATATGAACTGCATATATAACCTCAAATTTTCCATTAACCACATTAAGAAAAGTAAAAAGAAATAAGTGAAATTAACTTTAATAGTGTTTTATTTATTTTTTTAATAATTTATATATACTTTACATCATTGTTCATTTTTTTTTTAAACAATGTTTGCTTGCTTTTCTCAGGTGTAGTCCCCATTGAATTTACACCACCAGTTCACCCATGCACCATTACCATAGTCCCTTATGCTCTTTTAATCTAGTATATATAAAATGTTATAATTTCAGCTTCAATATGAAAAGTATTGATGGTGTAATCAACAATTTTTTCATGCTAAGACTTTGAAATCCAGTGTGATTTCTACATATACAACATATATCTGTTTGGTCAAGTGCCCAGCAGCCTCATGTGATTAGCTACTATTGTACTGAATGGTGATTCTTCAGACAAAGATGGTCAGGCATACCAACTTAACAGAAAATTTCTTTTTCTTTTGAGGTGAAATAAAGTCCCCCAGTTAGAAAATCTACTTGTTTGATAAACACATTTATAGATTATCTTTTCTTTATTTTTTTAACTTATACTTTTTCACATTCATTCTCACACATGGGAATTTCTTTTTTTTAAACATGTGGGATTTTTAATTTACACTGAAATGAATATTTGTTTGTTTGTTTGTTTCCTTTTGGGAAAAAATTTTCCAGCCTAATTACTGTTGTATAAATGCTGGGAAGCCTCTGGCCAACTTTCATATGCCAATTTTCGAAAAGAGGCTTAGAAATGTTTCTGGCAATTCCGTTACGGTCTCCTCCTTTTCCTGCTATCCCTGCCCTTCTATTTAACAGCTGGTTCCAAAACCAATATCTAATGCTATTTAATAACCCTGAGCATAAATTTTCAGTTATCTGTCAGAATGCTTTGGCATTTTAACACTAACATCAGGAAACAATACATTATTAGAGGAATAATTTGACAGCTGTCAAATTAACTAATTCTTTGGGAAAAGGTTCTTATTATTTCCAGATTGTTTAATGAAGCCAGAGCTGCTTAAGCCATTTAAGCTGTTAATTACACAATAAAGAAAAAGGATCGGACCTAGGACATGTACAATTTCACTTTGGAATGTTGACTACATAGGATTTGTTTCCTGTGATTTTTCAAAGTTTTTATAAAATATAAGAAAATATTTTAAATACAGGGATGGGATTTTATGAGGAAGATTTATTTTAAAGAGGAGACCTAATTTCTGTACCAAGGATCCTACACATTTCGTGGCTTCTGGTATGAGTATCAATATGGTGTCAGGATGAGGCAGCAATACCTCCTCTTGGGGGTAGTGAAGTCACCTTTGTTTTCTCCTTTAAGAAGTCAGGAGGTTCTGACATTAACATCTAATTCCTCTTAACTAAGGGTTGAAAAAAAAAAAAACTTCTAGTCTAAGATGGATCTTATTGTGACTTTTCTTCCATTTATGATTTGATATTTCAACTTCTAAATAAGTTCAATGTACATAATCTTAGTTTAGAGAATGAAGCTTTGGAGTATAGCAGTTTCTTTACCATTTATTTTTTTGTGTGTTTATTGTATCCCTTAAAGCCACTACTGGGTGCCATCTTTTTTTTTTTTCCAAGATGACAATTACCTCATGAAAATTTCTTTTTTTTTTAAAGATTTATTTCATTTATTTATTTATTTATTTATTTATTTATTTATTTATTTATTTATTTATTTATACAAGCACTGGGTACAGCCAGAAGCACGGGAGGGTGAGAGAATTCACCAGAGCCAGAGTGGGGAGCAGAACAGGCAGACTGACGAAGTACACTGCTGAGGGGAGCAGCGGGCAGCAGGAGAGGTCTGCGCACCATGTGGGACCCTCCGCTGGTGGCTGGGGAGCAGCCGGGGATCGAACTGGCACTGCAGAGGCTGCAGGCAGCTTCGCAACCCAGCGCTCTACCGCTGTGCCACCGGGGAGGCCCGCCTCATGAAAATTTCATCATGAATTATGTTCAAACACATAGTGATTCTACATCTGTCCAAAACAAGTTTCAAGCCTTGGTTTGCATCTTTGGTCTTAGATGGTGTGGTCCTGCTGATTCTATAATTTAATTTTGTACATAGGGATAAGAAAACTCAGGCTTTCAAATGTGATTTTATTTGGTCTTAGAGAAGAGATTTTCTGATATTATTAACTTTCTTGCTTTTTTATTGTAAAATCAAAAGTGAAACAATTATTTTAAAAATTTCAAGGAAAAGAATTTACATATCACGTTGATTACTCTTATTATTCCACCCTATTATTTTTTAAGCGCAATTTCTCATTTTTCTTTTTTCATTAATGATTTGTTATGTAGTCTTGATTGAATCTCATTTCACAATGATTTCTTTATAAGTAGCTTTATCACTTTAATATTGAATTGATTTTTCATAATTTACATAATTATTCCTGGCTTGGGATAGTAGCTTTGGTCTCAATGATTATTTATGGATAACATTATAATAAGCATATTTATGCAAATGGATTTTTTTCATTCTTTTAAGTTATTTTCTTAAATTCCCAGGAAGAGAACTACTGAGCAGTTCAACTACTGAACTTTCATGTAGTCCTTGTGAATATTGACATCATGTTTAAACTTAGCAATCAAAATCCTTTATCATTCTGCTTTGAGTTGAGGTTCCAATGTAGTTATCAGACCTTGATGGGGTCTTTTTTTCAAGATGATACTTACCTTGTGAAAATTTCACTAAGAATTGTGTTCATGGGCCTCCCCTGGTGGCGCAGTGGTTGAGCGCTGGGCTGCGAAGCTGCCCGCAGCCTCTGCAGCGCCGGTTTGATCCCTGGTCACTGGCGAGGGTCCCACATAGCGCTCAGACCTCGCCTGCCGCCTGCTGCTCCCCTCAGCAGTGTGCTTCAGTCCTTCTGCCTGTTCTGCTCCCCGCTCTGGCTCTGGTGAATTCTCTTACCCTCCTGTGCTTCTGACTGTACCCAGTGCTTGTATAAATAAATAAATCTTTAAAAAAAAAAAAGAATTGTGTTCATGCATATAGGCAGTGGTGGCATGTGCTCTGGCAATACCAGTCTAAAGGCAACCTGTTTTCACTTAAGTTTAAAAATATGTATGGATAGATATTAGTCATTTGAGAATTTTGGAATGCAGATGAGGCAGAAGTTTTCATTTAACATGCAATATATTTAATCAGAATCTGTGCATGTGGTATGTGAAGAGTGCCAGGGAATCAGGTATAGGAGCCAGGGTTGTATCACAGGGGAAGAGTCACGTTGAGTTCTATGTCACGTTAAATTTAGACAAGTTTCCTGGAAGGGAAGAAGACAACATGAAAAAGAACATTGTAAAAATCAAAAGAAAAGAGTTTGGAAAAGAGGCAGAAAAGGATTGAGAATATTGAGAAAATGAAAGCAAACTAATAATGGAAAACAAGATGTTTCTTCAACATTAGCTTAGATGATTTTTATTAACTGATGTTCTGTACCAAGTCTCACATGTTAAACCTTTGTAAATCTTTCCTCCCCCAAGTTGCATTTTTTTTTTTCCTTTGAGGTAGTCCATTTGTGCAAAACAAATCTTTGAGTTAATTAATTCTCTCCTTATTTGGTGTCTGTCGGTAACCTTCATCCACAATCGTACAGGTGACTAAAATCTAGTCACTTCAGAGGTCCTGTGTTGTGCCAGTGCAGTAGAACTAAGCAAATGGAAGATAACAGGTTGGTGGAACATTTTTCAAATGAACCCGTGCCCATTATTACCTCATGTGTGGGTGGTGTAAGTTGGCATCTGCAAAATCTACAGGGTTGTAATTCTACTTTAGTGTGGCTTACCCAGAGAGTTTATGTAGAGAACAGGTATGACATTATAATTCTGTAATTCATTTTTAATTTCATTCCTAGAACATAGAATTCTCTCTATGAAGATACCAGTATGCAATTACAGTTTTATCATTTAGATTTTGAAATTTCATGTAAGATGTGCCAATGAATCATGGATTCATGCATTAGGTTTCTTTACTCTCTTTACTCAGTCTTCCTTGTCTGCTGGCCCAGCTCTGGCCCTGTCCAGAGCATTAATCTTTGGGGAAGACAGTAGAGTGGGTATGAGGGGAGGGGCTTCAAGCAGTACAAACACATTACTTTACTGAAAATTATTTAAACCCTCATAAATACACAAATGTAGCTTGAATTTTTAAGCAGATCTAGATTCTTCAGTATTTGTAAGTTTAAATT